CACACGTCCCCCACACGTCCCCCACACAACACGTCTTCCACACGTGCCCCACACAACACGTACCCCACACAACACATCCCCCACATGTCCTCCACACAACACATCCTCCACACGTCCCCCCCGCGTCCTCCACACGTCCCACACACACTCCGCTCTTCTCGTTTCATTCATCTGGTCTGACGGCGTCCTCAGTGGGGGACGGCGGTGCTGGCGCCCCCGCCCATCTGTTTCTCACAGATGAAGGGGAGGTACATGCTGCACGGGGCGTCGTACCAGCTCCGGATCGCCACGCGCTCCATCACCTGCGTCTTCACGATGTAGCCGCAGTCCTCGTCGATGTGGTTGTTGGGCTCGCCCGCCTCCCAGAACCTGCACAGACAAAATCATCCCGGTCAGCAGTTTTGTTCGAGGCGGGACGGGTACAAAATGTGTCTTCTGCAGTTTGGATACAAACCGAAAAGTTTAAGGTTGAAGGGGTCAGAAGCGTCAGAGCAACAACAATATGAGGAAAGAATAAACAACGTGGCGCAGGGGTAGAGAGGGTTGGTGGTTCAAGTCCCGGCTGCCCCATGTCGAAGTGTTCCTGAGCAAGACACCTAACCCCTAATTGCTCCCCGGGCAAAAATGTAAAATGCCATGTGTTAAAAATGTAATGTAAGTCGCTTTGGAGAAAAGCGTCCTGTAAAAAAATGAAATAGAGAACACCTCAGCGGGAAAGGAGGAAGCGGAGGAACGCACGAGGCTACAGAGGAATGATGACTTGTTATTTTCAAATGAGGAAGAGAAATCAGATGGTTATTAGAAATCTGTTGAGTTGGCAGAAGATGGAAAGGAACAAAATACAGAACACAGCTCGAGCGCTTTAGTGTTTTTTCAGTCTCGGACTCATTTGTATTCCATCAGAGGTCAGAGGTCAGGAGCGCCTGGCGTGAGGCTTCCCTCAGCGGTTTACCAGCGTGCACGAGGCCGCTCACAGCTACAGACACGATCCTGTGGAACACCTACTCAGATCAATGTCAATGATCACGAGCCCACTGAGATCTCTTCCAGTTCCTTTTGTGTCCGACCAGTAGGACAAAACATGAACCTACACTGACTGAACCAGGAGGAAGCAGGCCAGCTGTCCTCCGGCCCAGAGTGCTTTAAACGTGCACGTCTTCGGCCTCTTTCGGCATCGACAAGCCTTGAGCTGTCCAAAAATACTCATCCGTCCAATCCGACGATTCTGTCTTTGGAGGCCAGGAACATCACTTCCTCTTTTAATGACTCGCCTCCCTGAATGTTCTTCGCCTCTGGGATCCGTGTCCGGTGGAACAGGAAGTAGCGCGTTGAGGTTTGCACCTTTTCCTCGTCCACTTCCCCCTCTTCTCTGCCAGGTCTGTGTTCATCAGCGTGCACGTGTGTGGAAACTTCTGTGTGTTGTAACTTTTGTATGTAATGCTTCCTTAACTTTTGTATGTAATGCTTCCTTTTTTTTACATCGTGCCGTGACTAACATGATCACATGTTATGTTTTTCGAGGACTTGGCGTGTAGGGAAAGCTGTATTTATTGTAATTGTTTATGTACGTTGAAAATAATAAAGACCCAAAAGCCGCCAAAGTTTCTACTTGAAGCTACGCCGCGTTTCGTACCAGGAAAAACTGGTAAAACAAACTCTCGACGGTTCTTTTGCTTCCCATCCGACCAAAAGAGTCGTTGGATGAACTCATTCGGCTAACGTTACATCTGAGTGGAACGTAGCAAAACTAAACGATACTACAACTCACTTTCGTCACTCGTTAGCAGTTAAGAAATGAACCTACCCTCCGACAAGCGGGGTGCCGTCCACCCATTTCCACTGATCCTCTGTGTGCTCGTCAGTGATCCCAAACCAGTACGAGTTCCAGTGGCCTCTGGGAAGAAGATCCCACAGGAACGTCTGAGAGGGAACACCAGACCAAGGGAACACTTACACCACTCGCAGACTGCTCAACCTACTTCATGAAACAAGCTTCATCACATTAGTCTGGAAAAACGTTGGTTACATCTGCTGAGATCTAAAAAGTGGGATTCAAGTCATATCTCATAAACAAGACTATCGGCTCAATCTCCATCTCCAAGTATGGTTGTTCTATCGGCCTTTGGAAACGTGTCCTGCCGGATGAAAGCCTTGATGTGCTGCCGCAGAACCGCCGAGTGGAACCGTACCTGCTCCTCCGCCGTGAGGATGATGGCCAGGTGAGCTCCTTGGCTCTCGCAGAACGACTTGCTCTCGGGCCAATCCCTGGAGGTCCTGGAGATGAAGTAACAGCTGTCGTTGAAGAGGCTCCAGTCCGGGGAGCAGACGGGCGGGGCCCTGGTCGGGGCCCTGGTCGGGGTCCTGGTCGGGGGTTTGATCGCCTCGGGGACTGATGAGGGAGAGATATTGAGACACCTCGGAGGCGGACTCGTGCACGGTTCTCCCTCCGTGACATTCTCGAGGATTGTACAGACATGGAGCCGACTACCTTTGGTGGCCGCCATGAGGTCCAGCTTGGCCTGGAGCTCCTCCTTCTCCTGCTGCAGCTTGCTGATGGTGGCGATCAGAGCCGACGTGTTTGCGTCCTTCATCTGCATCTCTGAGGTCCCTCCTGCGTCTCTCTGAGGTCCTTTCTTACCTGTGGAAAGTACTCAATGTACTGGTACTGCTTCCATTTTGTTCATCTCTTGAATTGTAAGATGTGATATCCCCCAAATTCTCAACTTTAGTCTTGCATGCAGATACAGAGAATACACCCCTTGAAGTTATTATTTCATTACCGAAACGATGGCCTCTTCCGACTATCATTTATTTAACTAAGTGACCAAACCTCTGAGAAGCTTTTTTTAAGTTTAGAACCTGCATGTTTTCTCTCTTTTTTACATCAGCTCTGCGTTTCCTCTTTCCCCACCGGGCCCCCGGCGTCCCCCGGGGCTCCTCGTTAAACGCGCTCCTCTAAAGCTTAAAACGGGTCCGAGGGGCGGCGTGCTCACTGGTGACGGCGATGATGGAGATCAGCAGCACGGCGCTCAGCGCAGCCAGGCAGATGGTGGCGAGGCGGTAGGGCCCGGGGCCGCCCGGTATGGGGGCCATTCTGACGCGGGGGGCCGGGTGAGCTGCAAGAGACCGAAAAGGAATCGTTTATCGACCTCACGATCCAAGTGATCTGCACTGACGTCAGGACAAACCATCAACAGTCAAGACTTCAACATCTAATTCCTCACCTAAAGAAATACGCTTAACACGATCACGTGGCAGCACGTGTCAACAAATCTGTTGATTCAAGGATTCTGAAGGTTTTTGTTTAGTCAGAAACATTTGAATTGACTTCCACGATGTCTGGAGGGTCGACTGCAGGTTGGTTCGGATGCGGCCTGGTTCCATTTGTCCACGAATCCCGATCCATTTTTTTCTGCCACCAATCAATGAAATGATTGAGAGCAAAGTGGAGATGCTGCCTTAAGCCCTCTGACCCGTCACCCGTCACTTAAATACCCATAAAGTAGCTTCAGCTACAGCCAATGCTAACAAACAAGCTCACTACTGGTACTTTGTGTCCTCTGACGTCCGATGGGATGTTTGCTCTTAGCGCACTTTGCACCTCTTTGTGAATAATGGCGCTCGCGTGCGTCCGGCTTTGCACGCCAGTATTTTGAAGTAAGTCAACAAAAGAGACACAAATGAAAGAAAAACAATAAGCCGCTGTTACACAAATAACACTTTGAGTACTTACCGTGGAGTCCAACATCTGGCCTGCTGTTCACCTCGTCCTCTATGAGCTTGGAGTACATTCCCTCACAGGCCAGGGAGCCCCCGGGGGTCGACATCACGACAACAACAACAACAACAACAACAACACGTGTTTGCCGTTACAGCTTAGAGGAGGTGTGACAGGAGGAACAGAACTTGCAGGCGAGCTGCTCTCCTGGTTTCGCTCTCTGAGCCGCGCGGGGACTCAAGCTGCGGAGAACCGATCCAGATGTGGTCGGCTGTGATCTGTTTCAAAATAAAAGCCCCAGCTATTTGGAGTAAACATTCTGCGTTGAACTCCTCTATTTGATAAAATAGTATAGTAGTATATATATTTTACTGAATTCAGAATATATCACATAAACAAATGGATGTATCGGTGTCTGCCTATGAACATATTTTACAAACAAAGAGTATTTATTGGAATAAAGCGCACGTGGAAACAACCAATTTATTTCTCCTCAAAACAAAAAACAAACACATATTATTATTTAAGAGACATGCAGTTCGTTTGCAGATTACCTGAAATAAAATCACGTGTATTGAACATAGTGAATAAACTCTACATTGTGCTCACTCATTGCCTGAACAAATGTCTTAAGAACATCACGTGTCCTTTCCACACGCTGGGCTTTTATTCTGAAGGCGAAGCTGGGTGAATTGTGTGCATCACAGTTTGAGGTAAAGAAAACAGACCGCTGCGGTTCTCCAACAATTTAGAGGATTTACAGGAACGTGTGCGACGGTTTACGGTATTTTGTTGTGTTTGTTTCGCGTGGATCAATTATTGATTGATTGATTGATTGATGATTATCAATCCGTCTGAACCCTGAACATGAAGCAATGCTGCTGTAGCTCCAGAAGATGTCGCCGTGATGTAATATATTACTGGAGCTGCCGCTTGGTGCGGACAGGACTAAAGGCCGCTGCGTCTTTACGCGTCGACGCTCTGGTTTCACTTCCTGGTTGTAAAGTCGTGCGTGTGTTGCAGAGCGATTCACCTCCAGAACAACAGGTGGAGTCACGTGTTTTGTTGAAGACGACCTAGAGAGTCACGTAGGACGTTTCGCACCAAGGAGGTGTGAAAAGACACGCAAGGGACACGCAAGGGACACGTCTGCGTGTCCTCGCGTCTCTCTGGAAACGCAGAAGCATAAACTAGGCTCCACATGGTCGATAGGGAGAAACTTCACAGACCATAAAGGTTCTTTCACAGTTACTGGAATCACAGCATCGTTTCTGTTCCCTTTCTCACTTGCACATCTGTACGGACTCTTTGAGAGCTTTACCTCAGTAACCAGAGATATATTAATAATAAAACCTCTCAGGAATGACCCTGACACGTTTCATGTGCATTTCAGGCAAGTTTAAATAATGTTCAAGAAAATAAATATATACCATTCATTAGAATGTATATACATTTGTGGTTTAATTGATCACATGCTATAATATGTGTGGTGACACTGCGTCCGATGATGGAGGAGGATACAAAATTATAAATATATCAAATAAAGTAACCCAAGCACTGTTACTTACTCAGAAGATACCAGAATGAATAACTATAATACAAATAGGTGCAGTGAGGCCTTGGTGAGACTTCAGGGAGGCTCAGGTTGAAGATTTCATCCTCATCATCATCAAATCATCCAGATGTTTAGCAGATGTGGGAGAAACCAGAAAACATTAGTTCAAGATCTATGTTTTTAAATGATCCATCCTATGTTCTATTAAAGCAGTAGATCATTGTTCCAATGCATCACTTGAGCCTGTAGAACGTCCCTGTGGTCCTCCTGAGCAGCTAATGATGAGACCAGAACACAAACACAAACCCATTAGACAGACGTAAAGTACGATTAGCGCAGTGTGTTGTGATTGCATGAGACCTGAGCAGGAGTGAACATATTAATATAAAAGGATATGAATATATCAGGAATCAGGAAACATTTATTGCCAAAATATGTCAAACATACAAGGAATTTGTCTTGGCGGTGGGTGCGTGACAGTAGACAATGTAACAAGACAGCAGTGCACAAGTAATAAAATGAAGTAAAATGCTAATGCAATATAGCGTCAAAAGAGATTTGAATTCCATCAAGATCATTTTTGTCCTTAGTGGTTACAGTAATAATAGTGAAACACTGAAAGCTCTTGATGAACGTGTACATTGTGTGTGTGTGTGTGTGTGTGTGTGTGTGTCTCCAGTGAAGTGCGTCAGTCAGTTCAGTTTCTGTTCCTTCTGACTGAAGGAGGTTTTTGTACGACTCTTTTTCACTGTGTGAACACCCGCTGACTATTAGGGTAATGAAAACTCTGACAGTAGTAATGTGCTGCATCTTCAGCTGTGACTCCACTGATGCTCAGAGTGAAGGAAGATCCTGATCCACTGCCTGTAAAACGACCTGGAGTCTCTGATGCTCGAGTGGTAGCAAGATAAATCAGCAGCTTAGGAGCTCCTCCGTCTCTCTGTTGGTACCAGGCTAAATGATTAGAGCCATGAACACTCTGACTGGTTGTACATGAGATGGAGACGGAGCCTCCAGCAGCAGAGCTCACTGCTCCAGGCTGAGTCACTGTGAACTGGCCTCTGGACTCTGAGGACACGGAGACAAAGACATAAAGCAGCGTCATGGTCGTGTCTCCTTCATTTCAGAGGGACGCACGTCCACAGAGGAGAGGACTTTGGTCCTCTGGACTTTACCTGTGAAGCAGAGGAGAGTCCAGACGAGGACGCAGATCAGAGTCATGTTTGTGATGAGGAGGATCTCTGTGTCTTCTGCTGTGATGAAGGACAGCTGTCCTCCAGGGTCCAACTCTCAGGACTATAAGGTCTCCCAGAGCACTGGAGCATGTGCTGCTGATGCAAAGTGTCTCTATGGAAATGCTGTGCCTGACTCCTCTGATGACGCTGGTGATCAATGGATCAATCAGCTGATCGCTCCATTGATCAGGAATGTGTCAGTGCTCGTTAACGAGTCTTTGATGCCGTTTGATGGAAAACTTTTCTTCCCGAATGTTTTATAAGATCCCCAAAATTTACTACAATGTAAATTAAGATCAGAATGAGACAAAATTCATCAAAATGGATATTTTTTCATTCTTATAGCGCACAATAAATATACATTTATGATCATTTTCACTTTTTTGGATATTGGAAATGTGTAAAGAAACACTAAAATATTAATATACATTTTTGTAAAATGTTCTTTAGTAATCATTTATTTGTTTTTTATTAATTAAATATCACTCACAGATGTCAAACGTTCATCAAATAACCGGTTGAATACACATTTACTTTGTGTTGATCAGTTTGATGGGTCGAGGTCTTGTACACACTGAATGTGTGTAGTGTGTTTGTGTGTCTGTCACAGAGTCGTGTGTCTCTACTCTCACAGGTTTTTGTACGGCGGTTCGATGCCTTCGTGTCACTGTGGTGGACGTTTGGTGGAGGAACCAGACTGAGCGTTGGAAGTAAGTCAAACCTTTAATAATCTCATTGTTTCTGACTATAATGTGTTATATTTATATTCAACAGGCAAAACAGAAAATAGATGCTTTTATATATTTATGTATGTTTTTCAGATATTTTGCAATCAGAGAGAAACTTTCCATCAGTGAACTTTAAAACGTTATTTGTATGAAAAGTCAAAGTAAAAATATCTGTTTCTTTATTTAAAGCTCTTTCTGATTTCATGCCTTAGTTTCTGCTCCTTTATACATTTATATTAGAGAAGCTCTACTAAACATTTTGTTACAAACTCCTTTCAACTTATAACGTGTAAAAAACATGAACCTCGAGAAAAATATCAGAATGTTGGTTTTTGTTTTTTCATAATGAAAAATGATCCGATTATTTGAATAAATGTTTACGGACGAGTTAACGATCGACTTCATTCTCTCAAACGTCTTGAACTTTAAAACCGTATTTTTAAATTTTGCCTGAAATCCACATGAAGAAAGTTTGATTGCTGTTGGTTTATTTTCTCTATTAATTCACGCTTGAAGTCATTATTTTAGACCAACGTTTTTGGGCAGTTTGAACATTTGTCCTCATGTGGACGTTTCTTCTGTGGTTTCATGTCCTCCTGTCTGAGGATTGTCTCTGTGCTGATGTGCATGAGAGGCTTCTTGAAGGGAAGTGAAACATGGTGTGAGTGAGTGACTGCTGGAGCAGAAGAAACATCTGGCAGAAACTCCTCAAAGGACTGAATCGGCCCTCTCACAGTGCAGGGGTCCCATGTCTGGTGCTTGATTGACAGCTGATCGTGTCTCCTAGGTGATGTCCGGCCCACCCTGACGGTGCTGCCCCCCTCCAGGGAGGAGCTGCAGCAGGGGACGGCCACGCTGGTGTGCCTGGCCGACAAGGGCTTCCCCTCCGACTGGAGTCTGGCCTGGAAGGTGGACGACAGCAGCAGCAGCTGGGAGGAGAGCAGGAGCCCCGGGGTGCTGGGGGGGGGCGCCCTCTACAGCTGGAGCAGCACCCTGAGGCTCCCTGCAAACCAGTGGGCCAAGGTGGGCTCCGTGACCTGTGAGGCCACCCAGGGCTCCCAGACTGCGCTCTCAGAGACGCTGAGGAGAGACCAGTGTTCCCAGTGAGCTGAGCCACTGGGGCTCTGATACTGGTTCACTCTCATACTGGTTCAGTATGACTTGTAACACGTTCCTGTTTATTTCTTTTTTTCAATCACTGTCCAAGTTCCTGTTTCATTTATTAAGTTCTGTTCACTTTTATTATTTCAACACAATAAAAACTTTTCATTAAATTCTTTGTCATTCAGTATATTCATTGTAAAGTAAACAGATGTTTCTCTCTCTCTAGTTCCATAAATCTAGTCTTGAGATTTTAAAATTATTTAATATGTATAAAGAAATCCTAAAATATTATTAGACATGTTTGGTGTTTGATGAACAAACTCTCTGATAAGAATCAATGTAACTGAATGTGACCCAGATATGATCAGAGTAAAAATATTTTTGTTATACGTTTTCATGATGCTTTTGTGACATCATTAACTGAAAAAAGAATCTTTTAATGAAGCTGTGTTTTTAACAAATGTTTCTGAGAAAATCCCATTAACAGTATCTACATCACTAATAAGGTCTGTCAGTTGTAGTATCTAGTCAAATGAATCTTAATTGAACTACAAAGTTTGAGAAGTTTTAATCAAATTGGAATAGTGAAGTAGGATATCTTCAGCATTTTATATCACCATAGTATTAATAAATATAAGTTTATTCTTACAGCACATTTCAACAACAAGGTTATTCAAAGAGCTTCACATTAAAGCATTAAAAGCATCATGAGTGAAGAACATTGATTTGAACATTTATTACTAAAACAATAAACAAGCTTTAATCTGAATAAACATTACAGTGTAGTTTGAGACTCTTAATAGTAAAATACAGTAATAATATACAGAGATGCAGTAAATGGATCAACATCCCTGTCTGGTTCAATTAAAAGCTGCAGCCAACAGAAACGTCTTCAGTCTTAATTTGAAGCCGCTGAGAGTCTCAGCAGACCTGCAGCTTTCTGGGAGTTTGTTCCAGATGTGGAGCAGAAGAAGAGAAGCTGCTTCTCCATGTTTGGTTGTGACTCTGGGAACAGAGAGCAGAGCCAGAGGACCTGGGGGGTCGGGATGGTTCGTAAGGTGGCAGCAGGTCACGAGTGTGTTTCGGCCCTGAACCGTTCAGTGACAAGTTATTAAAATCCTGTTGAAGCCTCTAATTCTTGATATATTCTTCATGTGACAGTAGGGATCATAGTAGATGTGTGTGTCGTCTGCATAATAACGAATACACACTTTGTTTCTTTGCATAATGTGAGCAGGTGGAAGCATGTAGATGTTGAACAGGAGAGGCCCCAGGAAGGAACCGTGGGGAACACCTCATGTGTTTTACTCCGCTGTGATGTGTAATTATCTACAGACACAAAGTGCTCACGGTTCTTCAAGTAGGATTCAAACCAGCGTTGTGTTGAGCCAGAGAGTCTCACCCAGACTCTCAGTCCGTCTCGTAATGTGTCACCTTTGACCTTGTTGAACGCCGCACTGAGTTCCAGTAATACTAAGACTGTAATAAAAGCAGTGGGATCCAAAGAAACTATAACAACCTATAACTATATAACTTACTATATTATTATATAGCTATTATTAAACTATTTTATATCTATTACATTACATTACATTACATGTCATTTTCGCGGACGCTTTTATCCAAAGCGACGTACAATAAGTACATTCAACCATAGGGTACAAACTCAGGAGAACAAGAAACAAGAAAGTGCAATTTCCTCAAATAAGCCAATTTACAATTTGCTATAGATGAGTGACGTTACAAGTACAATTTAAGTGCTACAATTTGTTAGTCTTTAGTCGAGGTAGAGTCTGGAGAGGTGTGTCTTTAGTTTGCGGCGGAAGATGTGAAGGCTCTCTGCGGTCCTGGTGTCTTCAGAGAGCTCGTTCCACCATTTCGGCGCAAGGACAGCAAAGAGTCGAGATCTAGTCGAGTGTTTTACTCTCAGTGAGGGAGGGACGAGTAGTTTTGCAGATGCAGAGCGGAGAGTGCGGGTTGGGATGTAGGGTTTGACCATGTCCTGGATGTAAGCTGGACCCGATCCATTCACAGCATGGTACGTGAGCACCAGTGTTTAGAACTGGATGCGGGCGGCCACCGGTAGCCAGTGAAGAGAGCGGAGGAGTGGAGTAGTGTGGGAGAATTTCGGAAGGTTGAAGACCAGTCGAGCTGCTGCATTCTGAATGAGCTGCAGAGGTCGAATGGCGGTGGCAGGGAGACCTGCCAGGAGGGAGTTGCAGTAGTCCAGGCGGGAGATGACAAGCGCCTGAATCAGTACCTGCGCTGCCTTCTGTGTGAGAAGGGGACGTATTCTCCTGATGTTGTAGAGCAAGTATCTACAGGATCGCGTTGTCGCGGTGATGTTGGGAGTCAGGGAGAGTTGGCTGTCGAGTGTGACACCGAGGTTCTTAGCGGTCAAAGTGGGCGTTAGTACGGAGTTTCCAAAGTTGACTGTCAGGTCCTGGGTAAGCGAATCTTTTCCGGGAAAGAGAAGTAGTTCAGTCTTGTCGGGGTTGATTTTCAGATGGTGGGCGGACATCCACTGAGAGATGTCAGTTAGACAGGCAGAGATCCGAGCCGCCACCTGGGTGTCCGAGTGAGGGAAGGAGAGAATTAGTTGGGTGTCATTGGCATAGCTGTGGTAAGAGAAGCCATGCGAGCGAATGACAGCGCCAAGAGAGTTGGTGTGAAGCGAAAACAGGAGGGGACCCAGCACGGAATCCTGAGGAACTCCAGTAGTAAGAGGACAAGGTTCCGACACAGATCCTCGCCAGGTTACCCGGTAGGTGCGGCCATCAAGGTAGGACGAGAGAAGGGAGAGAGCAGAGCCTGTGACACTAAGATCCTGAAGGGAGGAAATAAGGATCTGGTGGTTGACCGTGTCAAATGCAGCAGAAAGGTCCAGAAGGACGAGGATAGAGGAGAGAGAGGAGCTCTAGCAGTGTGGAGTTGCTCTGTGACAGCAAGGAGAGCAGTCTCTGTGGAATGGCCTTGAAACCTCATTGGTGGGGGTCAAGGAGGTTGTTACAGTGGAGATAAGAGGAGAGTTGATTAAAGATTGCACGTTCAAGGGTTTTGGACAAAAAGGGAAGAAGAGAGACCGGTCTGTAGTTGTTTTCTTCAGAAGGGTTGAGGGTGGGTTTCTTCAGGAGGGGGTTGACTCTTCTCCTTCAGAGAATTGGGAAAACAGCCAGATAACAGAGCGTTGTTGATGAGACAGGTGAGGAACGGAAGAAGGTCAGGTGCGATAGATTGTAGAAGATGTGATGGAATGGGGTCAAGAGGGCAGGTGGTCGGACGGGCAGAGGTTACTAGGGTAAGAATTTGGTTAGGAGAGAGGGCTGTGAAAGAGGAAAGTGAGGGCGAAAGAGGTGAGGTCGGTGCGACGCGAGAAGTAGGAGGTGGGTTTGAAAAGGAGGAGCGTAAGTCAGCTATTTTCTTGGTGAAGTAGTTGACAAAGTCTCCCGGAAGAAGGGTGGAGGGGGGAGGAGGGGTAGGGGGTTCGAGGAGATTGGAGAAGAGTTTTTTGGGGTTAGAAAATGAAGATTCGATTTTGGATTGGTAGAAAGAGCTTTTGGCAGCAGAGATAGAAGCAGAAAACGAGGAGAGGAGAAATTGAAATTTAAGCAGGTCGTCAGGTCGTTTATATTTACGCCATCTATCAAATTTACAAATAAATCCGAATCACAAAAACGATTCTTGAAAACATATAGAGGTGAATATTGTATTTCAGAGATTAATATATAGTGATCATGTTAATTGTATTAACGGATCTTTTCCCTTATTCAACTAGATTATCATTTATTCTATTTAAAACGATATTTCCTGACAAGAATCTTTAAAAACTATGAAGTGTCACTCAAACGTAAAGTGTCTGTGTTCCTGTGCAGCTGTTGAGTGGATCAGTTCCTCTCCAGCTGAGGAGGTTTTTGTACGACGTTGTTTCACTGTGTGAACGGGCGGCTTGAACCCTGCTGACAATAATAGTCTCCTGCATCTTCAGTCAGAACTCCTCTGATGGTCAGAGTGAAGTCACTTCCAGATCCACTTCCACTGAAACGATCTGAGATCCCTGACTGACGACTTGAAGCGTAATAAATCAAAAGTTTGGGAGATTCTTCTGGTTTCTGTAGGTACCAGTGAAGGTCGTTACTAATGCCAGAACTGGCTTTACACCTGATGGAGACAGTCTGTCCTGGAACAACAGACTGAGATCCAGGAGACTGAGTCAGCTGGATTTCCCCTGATGAACCTGGAAAACATGAAGAAGAGCAGAAGGGTTATTGAGACAAATCCAGTTTGGAGAAAGATGATCAACATCCAAACAGAAGCGTCTCATTTCTTCAACACGGAGAACAGGTGAAGAAGGTCCACGCTGCTTGTTCCACTGGTTCTCCATCACAGCAGAACGTCCCTGTGGAGAAGCAAAGCCTCCAGAAGAGGGTCTCACCGTGAACAAGGAGCCCCAGGCTGGTCAGCAGTAGACTCAGTGACATCATCATTGTGCTGCCGGCGTGCCAGTGTGCGTGAGGCCTGGACGCCACTGATCAGCTCTCTTAAGGCGTGTGAGCAGAGAGGAAGGACACGTATGCAAACACACGGAGCCAGTGAGTCCTCGTCACATGACCGGGTTTCACTATTTAAATCATCTCACAAGGGAGAGAAAGCCTCTTAGGATCCAGACTCCATCAATCAGTTTGAACGGAAATTTGAGTTCTAGTACGATTTTAAGTCATAATACACAGGATCATTTTTCACATATAACAGATATTTATTTGTATTCTATATTTATTGGGTACCGAATATCCTAAAAAAAAATGTTTATTTTCAAACCGTACATTACAACTATTACTCGTATCATAGAATTTTATTTGTGTCGAAGCGAAGTTTGTCCGGCTTGACGAAGACATGTCCGAGATCTCCACAAGAGAAGGAGCACCCCAGAGAACGCTTTCCTCTCCCTTCTTCTTCTCATTCCATCCTCCTGACTAAAGACAAACGGTCTCCTACCCAAGCCAAAGAGCTGGATCTAAACAGGAGGTTGAATCTTTTGTCTGCTGCTGTGATGAAAACGTCCTAAAACTAAATGTCGGAAAGACCAGAGAGCTGCTCACTGATTTCAGGAGGGTGGTGGAGCAGGTCTCCCAATGACAATCGAGGGTCGACAGGCATTGTCCAGTCACAGAAATATGTCGGGATCTACCTGGGTACTAAGTTCAACCCTGATGCCGTATTCAAAAAGGCTTAGTCCAAACTCTTCTTCTTGAGGAAACTAAGGTCCTTTGACATCAGCAGAACCCTTCTTCACATTTTTATCAGGGGATCCCAGCTAGTGTCCTCTTCTACGCCAGATACCTGAGACACTGAAGGACTCCTGCTAATGCTAAATACTGAGAGTGCTGAAGAAACAAGTAGTCCCTTCAAAACAAATCTTTATTACTATATTTGTATTAGTCATCAACACTGATCCACAGAAGAGGTGAGCTACTGGTGTGTGTGTGTGTGTGTGTGTGTGTCTCCAGTGAAGTGCGTCAGCTGTCAGTTCAGTTTCTGTTCCTTCTGACTGAAGGAGGTTTTTGTACGACTCTTTTTCACTGTGTGAACACCCACTGACTATTAGGGTAATGATAACTCTGACAGTAGTAATGTGCTGCATCTTCAGCTGTGACTCCACTGATGCTCAGAGTGAAGGAAGATCCTGATCCACTGCCTGTAAAACGACCTGGAGTCCCTGATGCTCGACTGGTAGCAAGATAAATCAGCAGCTTAGGAGCTCCTCCGTCTCTCTGTTGGTACCAGGCTAAATAATTAGAGCCATAAACATCCTGACTGGTTGTACATGAGATGGAGACGGAGCCTCCAGCAGAAGAGCTCACTGCTCCAAGCTGAGTCACTGTGAACTGGCCTCTGGACTCTGAGGACACGGAGACAAAGACATAAAGCAGCGTCATGGTCGTGTCTCCTTCATTTCAGAGGGACGCACGTCCACAGAGGAGAGGACTTTGGTCCTCTGGACTTTACCTGTGAAGCAGAGGAGAGTCCAGACGAGGACGCAGATCAGAGTCATGTTTGTGATGAGGAGGATCTCTGTGTCTTCTGCTGTGATGAAGGACAGCTGTCCTCCAGGGTCCAACTCTCAGGACTATAAGGTCTCCCAGAGCACTGGAGCATGTGCTGCTGATGCAAAGTGTCTCTATGGAAATGCTGTGCCTGACTCCTCTGATGACGCTGGTGATCAATGGATCAATCAGCTGATCGCTCCATTGATCAGGAATGTGTCAGTGCTCGTTAACGAGTCTTTGATGCCGTTTGATGGAAAACTTTTCTTCCCGAATGTTTTATAAGATCCCCAAAATTTACTACAATGTAAATTAACATCAGAATGAGACAAAATTCATCAAAATGGATATTTTTTCATTCTTATAGCGCACAATAAATATACATTTATGATCATTTTCACTTTTTGGGATATTGGAAATGTGTAAAGAAACACTAAAATATTAATATACATTTTTGTAAAATGTTCTTTAGTAATCATTTATTTGTTTTTTATTAATTAAATATAACTCACAGATGTTAAACATTCATCAAATAACCGGTTGAATACACATTTACTTTGTGTTGATCAGTTTGATGGGTCGAGGTCTTGTACACACTGAATGTGTGTAGTGTGTTTGTGTGTCTGTCACAGAGTCGTGTGTCTCTACTCTCACAGGTTTTTGTACGGCGGTTCGATGCCTTCGTGTCACTGTGGATCACGTTTGGTGGAGGAACCAGACTGAGCGTTGGAAGTAAGTCAAACCTTTAATAATCTCATTGTTTCTGACTATAATGTGTTATATTTATATTTATATTCAACAGGCAAAACAGAAAATAGATGCTTTTATATATTTATGTATGTTTTTCAGATATTTTGCAATCCGAGAGAAACTTTCCATCAGTGAACTTTAAAACGTTATTTTTATGAAAAGTCAAAGTAAAATTATCTGTTTCTTTATTTAAAGCTCTTTCTGATTTCATGCCTTAGTTTCTCCTCCTTTATACATTTATATTAGAGAAGCTCTACTAAACATTTTGTTACAAACTCCTTTCAACTTATAACGTGTAAAAAACATGAACCTCGAGAAAAATATCAGAATGTTGGTTTTTGTTTTTTCATAATGAAAAATGATCCGATTAATTGAATAAATGTTTACGGACGAGTTAACGATCGACTTCATTCTCTCAAACGTCTTGAACTTTAAAACCGTATTTTTAAATTTTGCCTGAAATCCACATGAAGAAAGTTTGATTGCTGTTGGTTTATTTTCTCTATTAATTCACGCTTGAAGTCATTATTTTAGACCAACGTTTTTGGACAGTTTTAACATTTGTCCTCATGTAGACGTTTCTTCTGTGGTTCCATGTCCTCCTGTCTGAGGATTGTCTCTGTGCTGATGTGCATGAGAGGCTTCTTGAAGGGAAGTGAAACATGGTGTGAGTGAGTGACTGCTGGAGCAGAAGAAACATCTGGCAGAAACTCCTCAAAGGACTGAATCGGCCCTCTCACAGTGAAGGGGTCCCATGTCTGGAGCTTGATTGACAGCTGATCGTGTCTCCTAGGTGATGTCCGGCCCACCCTGACGGTGCTGCCCCCCTCCAGGGAGGAGCTGCAGCAGGGGACGGCCACGCTGGTGTGCCTGGCCGACAAGGGCTTCCCCTCCGACTGGAGTCTGGCCTGGAAGGTGGACGGCAGCAGCAGCAGCTGGGAGGAGAGCAGGAGCCCCGGGGTGCTGGGGGGGGGCGCCCTCTACAGCTGGAGCAGCACCCTGAGGCTCCCTGCAGACCAGTGGGCCAAGGTGGGCTCCGTGACCTGTGAGGCCACCCAGGGCTCCCAGACTGCGCTCTCAGAGACGCTGAGGAGAGACCAGTGTTCCCAGTGAGCTGAGCCACTGGGGCTCTGATACTGGTTCACTCTCATACTGGTTCAGTCTGCCTGTAAATCTACATTTTCTGTTCATTTCTTTTTTTAATCACTGTTTAAGTTCCTGTTTCATTCAATAAGTTCTTTTATTTTTTCAACACAATAAATAACATTTCATCAAATTCATTGTCATCAGTATGTTATTGTAAAGTAGACGGATGTTTCTCTTTCTCTAGTTCCAATAAATGCAGAAAAAGTTCTCAACTCAGTCTTTACATTTTCTATTATTGGAAACTGCAAGAAATACTAAAATATTAGGATTGTTATTGTAAAGTAAACAATTGTTCCTCTTTCTTTAGTTGCAAGACATCTAGAAACAGTTAACTCAACTGAGTCTTGAGAGTTTATAATCATTGGAAATGTGTAATAAACCTAACTGAATGTGACCCAGATATGACCAACGTATTGTCATACTTCATTCCACCATTAAGTGAAAAAAAACTTTTTTAACAAGGCTGATTTTTAAAATGTATTAAGGAAAATCCTTTTAACAGAATCTACATAACTAACAGGGTCCATCAGTTATTATTTCCTGTCAAAATAACGTTAATTGAACAACAAAGTCTGAGATAAAGTAAATTGGGATTGTAAAGTAGGATATCTTCATTATTTTTCATCATATCAAATACAGTAATAATATGCAGAGATGCAGTAAATGGATCAACATCCCTGTCTGGTTCAATTAAGGCAAGGCAATTTTATTTGTATAGCGCTTTTCACACACAAGGCAGACTCAAAGTGCTTCACATTATAACATTTCATACAATAAAGTGAGATAAAATGCAGGAATTAAAAGACAATTAAAAACCGCAAATAAAATTATAAATTAAAATCTTATTTAAATTGTTTAATTAAAAGCAGAGGTTAAAAGTGCAATGTAGGTCAAATTTAGCAGAAGGCGAAGCTGAACATAAAAGTTGTCAGCCTTGTTTTAAACGTGGTCAGAGTTGGGGCAAGTCTTAAATCTTCAGGAAGTTTATTCCAGCTGTTTGTTGCGTAGTAACTAAATGATGCTTTCCCATGATTTGTATTTACTCTGGGAATCACTAACAGATGGTGTCAGAAGATCTTAGTGATCTTGAAGGCTTATGTAGTGGAAGCATATCAGTCATATACTTTGGCCCTAAACCATGTAGTGATTTATATGTGAGCAGTAGGATTTAGAGATTAATTCTCTGACATACTGGGAGCCAATGTAAGGATTTAAGAATTGGTGTAATGTGCTCACATTTTTTGGTCTTTGTTAGAACTCTAGCAGCAGCGTTCTGAACAAGCTGGAGCTGCCTGACAGTTTTTTTTGGAAGACCTGCAAGGAGACCATTACAATAGTCTAGCCTACTAGTTATAAAGGCATGTACAAGTGTTTCTAAGTCTTGAGCTGACATGAGCCCTCTAAGTCGTGCTACATTTTTGAGGTGGTAGTAGGCCGATTGTGTTACTGATTTGATGTGACTCTCCAAGTGTAAATCTGAATCCATAACAACCCCCAGATTTCTGGCTTTATTTGATGTTTTCAGGGACAGAGAGTGAAGGTGTTGGGTTACTTTAAACCTTTCTTTTTTATCACCAAATACAATGATCTCAGTTTTGTTTTCATTTAGTTGTAGGAAATTTTGACACATCCAGTCTTTGATTTGCTCGATGCACTGGCACAGAAGATCTATGGGGCGATAGTCGTTTGGTTAAAGCGCTACATAGATTTGGGTGTCATCAGCGTAGCAATGGTGGTCAATTTTATTTCTTTGCATGATTTGTCCTAGTGGGAGCATGTAGATGTTGAATAAAGTCGGCCCTGAGATCGAACCTTGGGAGACTCCACACGTTACCTCGGTTGTTTCTGATACGAAGTCACCAATGGAAACAAAATAGTTCCTGTCTTGTAGATATGACCTGAACCAGCTTAAGACTGTGCCTGAGAACCCCACCCAGTTTTCCAACCTGTCCAAAAGTATTGAGTGGTCGAATTAAAAGCTGCAGCCAACAGAAACCTCTTCAGTCTTAAATTGAAGCCGCTGAGAGTCTCAGCAGACCTGCAGCTTTCTGGGGGTTTGTTCCAGATGTGGAGCAGAAGAAGTGAATCTGCTTCTCCATGTTTGGTTGTGACTCTGGGAACAGAGAGCAGAGCCAGAGGACCTGGGGGGTCGGGATGGTTCATTACATTACATTACAGGTAATTTTGCTGACGCTTTTATCCAAAGCGACTTACATTACATTATTAACCCATGGCTTTTTTACATTTTTGCCCGGGGAGCAATAAGGGGTTAGGTGTCTTGCTCAGGGACACTTCGACTTAAAGACATGTGGCAGCCGGGACTCAAACCACCAAGATTGCGGTTCCCGGCACACCCGCTCTACCCCCTGCGCCACGACGCCAGAGATTAATATATAGTGATCATGTAAATTGTTTTAACGGATCTTTTCCCTTATTCAACTAGATTATCATTTATTCTATTTAAAACGATATTTCCTGACAAGAATCTTTAAAAACGATGAAGTGTCACTCAAACGTTAAGTGTCTGTGTTCCTGTGCAGCTGTTGAGTGGATCAGTTCCTCTCCAGCTGAGGAGGTTTTTGTACGACGTTGTTTCACTGTGTGAACGGGGAGCTGTTACTCTGCTGACAATAATAATCTCCTGCATCTTCAGTCAGAACTCCTCTGATGGTCAGAGTGAAGTCACTTCCAGATCCACTTCCACTGAAACGCTCTGAGATCCCTGACTGACGACTTGTAGCCCAATAAATCAAAAGTTTGGGAGATTCTTCTGGTTTCTGTAGGTACCAGTGAAGGTTGTTACTAATGCCAGAACTGGCTTTACACCTGATGGAGACAGTCTGTCCTGGAAGAACAGACTGAGATCCAGGAGACTGAGTCAGCTGGATTTCTCCTGATGAACCTGGGAAACATGAAGAAGAGCAGAAGGGTTATTGAGACAAATCCAGTTTGGAGAAAGATGATCAACATCCAGACAAGAGCGTCTCATTTCTTCAACACGGAGAACAGGTGAAGAAGGTCCACGCTGCTTGTTCCACTGGTTCTCCATCACAGCAGAACGTCCCTGTGGAGAAGCAAAGCCTCCAGAAGAGGGTCTCACCCTGAACAAGGAGCCCCAGGCTGGTCAGCAGTAGACTCAGTGACATCATCATTGTGCTGCCGGCGTGCCAGTGTGCGTGAGGCCTGGACCGCCACTGATCAGCTCTCTTAAGGCGTGTGAGCAGAGAGGAAGGACACGTATGCAAACACACGGAGCCAGTGAGTCCTCGTCACATGACCGGCTTTCACTATTTAAATCACCTGTGATGTAACTTCTCAAGAAACACGTTAACATGACCATGAACTGAAGACTCTTCTTCAACCCTCCAAAGAACAGTTTGAGCTTTATTAAAGTTTCCACAAACACAATCATCACTCGTGTGAATTAAACAGTGAAACATTAATCAAGAGAAGTTTCCATCAGGATCTTCAGCTTGGTTTTATTCTGTAGAACAACATTTCTTCATGGTTCACGTGTCACACACAACTCTCCTCTGAGGTGATTTTCTTCTTGTCTCCAGTTTTCAGTTAATAGTTCCTGTTTTATTTCGGTGGACTCGGCTCTTGTGTTTCCCCACTTTGTGATCGTGTGCTTCTTGCTGGTTGTGTCCCTCCTTTCATTGTGTGTTTCTTCGTGTCCTCTTCTCTCTGGGCCGGTTTGTTCTGTCTCTTTTAGAGTATCGGCCATAACGCTCTTCCCTCCCTACATGTGCTTTCCAGTCTACGTACCTATTGAACGCTGCCTTCAGGTAATCACCTCGTGCTTCAACTTCTCTGCGCATTCAGTCTTTTGTGTGTTGGTGCTGGTTTCATTGATAAAACACAGTAACAGAGAACATCTATTTCAAAAAGTAGACGTTCCAGTAATGAACCAGAATGAGAAACATCTGCGTTTCCTTCTCACAAGTTCTTTCAGTCGTGATCTGAGTATGAGACAGAAAGAAGAACAGCCGCCGCCTGCAGAGACGCATGAACGCTGACGAGTCCTTTCATAGCTCCCAACACGTAGCATGACGCTAACATCTCATTCTGTATGAACCCAAAGACAGACGCACTAATGCAACCTGGTTGCACTTATTCCTCCAGATCGTCTCTTATCTGCAGCTTCACTGATCTGAGAGACCAGATCAAATGAGATCATTCATTCAACTGGATGATAAAAGTCTGTTTGCCTCGTTGAACGTTGATGATAATTCTCTCTCTGTTTCAGGTAATGTGGTGTAAATAAGTCTCACCTACTTCTTCATTCATAGCTGTCTCACAGCAAAATGTGAAAAAGCTACGTTGGTCCACAAGGGACAACGTAGTATTGTCGCCATTTGCCCCCAAATAGGTGACAATACTCCGTTTTATTCGGCCTATTCATTTACATTTCCTTGCAATTGGGTCACGTGACTATCAAGTTACCCTCAGCTAAAGAAAGAAAATGGCGGACTGTCGGTCTGTTATGTGTGATAAACACACTATTTTACATGAGCATAGAGGAGGTCAACACGCAGTAGGATCAAGTGAAAGCAGAGTGATACCATTTTTGTATCTGGTTTACAGACAGTTCAAAGATTGAGAAAAGACGAATATCATGTCAATATTACTGATTTCATCTTTACTTTTCTCAAAATCGACCTACTATCTCGAATACTACGTTTTCCCTTGTGGACCAACGTCCCTGTTACACATTTTGCTGTGAGACTGAGTTGGAACATATGGGGGAAAGAATCATTTGAATTCCATCAAGATCATTTTTGTCCTTGAACTCTTTGTAATAAATGTTTATTAGTGGCTACAGTAATAATAGTGAAAGACTAAAAGCTCTTGATGAACGTGTACATTGTGTGTGTGTGTGTGTGTGTGTGTGTGTGTGTGTGTGTGTCTCCAGTGAAGTGCGTCAGCTGTCAGTTCAGTTTCTGTTCCTTCTGACTGAAGGAGGTTTTTGTACGACTCTTTTTCACTGTGTGAACACATACTGACTGTTGATTACATGAAAACTCTGACAGTAGTAATGTGCTGCATCTTCAGCTGTGACTCCACTGATGCTCAGAGTGAAGGAAGATCCTGATCCACTGCCTGTAAAACGACCTGGAGTCTCTGATGCTCGAGTGGTAGCAGAATGAATCAGCAGCTTAGGAGCTCCTCCGTCTCTCTGTTGGTACCAGGCTAAATAACTAGAGCCATGAACA